TTGGGGGGGGGGGGGGGGGGCTTCAATCCTTACAGCGGATGCGTCTAAGCAGCAACTAGTAGAAAGTTTGAATTAAGAACTAATTAAAAACGCATGCAATGACTGCAACTCCCAGGCTTCGTAGGCACAGTATCCCAAGGGCCGGGGCTCTTTTACAGAGGAGACGAGAAGAGACGGGGCCGCCGCACTTTAGCTACAGGCCAGCTTACTGCAGACAGAGATGCATGCTAACGCTGCATGCAAGCACAACTAAACCCCCCTTTCCTGCATGCACTAACACTGTAGACAATGGCTGAAGTCTTATTAGGGGGCCCTCTGCAGGAAGCCTGCTGTGCTACAACGCTAGACAGCACCTGCTACAGCCGCGTCTCCCTCTCAACTAAGCAGCAGACGCCCTCTTTTGCCGCAAGAATGAGATTATTAGATCGAGGGGAGGGTTCTTGCCTCACATATCGCCGCTGTAGCGGGTAACAACACCCGCTGCAGCAGGTGTTGTTCCTGCGGTTCTATCGGTTCCTACACGCTTACTGCTGCGTCTCTTACCGCTAGATGTCTTTCTGCTGCGTCTGTTGCCGCTGGGAATCCTGTGGCTGTGGCTGCATACTCTATGGCTGCTAAAGCCTTAAGACTAAGTTGCACTTGAGGATTCACTTCACAGGCCCTTGTGCCGTTAACACGAACACCCCGATTGTGGATATACAGCCCATCGGTGAAGCCAAATCCGGCGGCTTTTGCATTTGAGTCTTTACGCATTTACACGTTTTTATCAGTACCTTTGAAATGTTTTGTTTTTCTTGTTTCTTTGGCGCTGCGTCCTTGCGCGCTGTGTGCGATTGCCTGGCCTTGCTTATGGCTGCAAAGACTCCAGAACAGTTGGGGAGGTGGCAGCAGGAGACTGGAAACAGCACAAAGCACACGGGTCTGATTTGTGCTACTGCCAGTCTCCTCGAGGGTTTTAGAAGGCATCATCTGTGGCCCTCTCTGGCAATTCTCTTCTCTGTACTCGGTCGTAGCAGGTGAACGCACAAGGCGGCTCCCTCTCTCTCTCTGCTTCTGCTGCAGTCGCCTCTGACTGCAGCAGCTACTTCCCGAGGTACATCCCTCCTAACTCTTCCAATCATCTCGGTAGCCCATGAATATACCGCTGCATGCACTGCTGCAGCTTCTCGGCTAGTTCCTCTGCTCCTGCTGCGGGCTCTTGTGGCACCGAAGCTCGTGCAGCAGCAGCAGCAGCAGCAGCAGCAGCAGCAGCAGCAGCGCCTTCCGTTTTAGGTCCTCGTGTTATTGCTGCTGCTGGTTCTGCCGTTGCTGCCGATGCTTTTGCTGCACTTGCTATTTCTTCAGCTACAAACGGCAGCTGCTTAGCTGCTGTGACAGCTACAGCGACTAGGGAGGAATCCACAATCAGAGGTAGAGCGAAGTGTCTCTGAAAACGGAGTAGATATGACGAAAATGTTGAAATGGAGAGCGAATGAGCTAAGAAAGTGTATGCAGCCCCCAGCGGCATGCACAGCTCTGAGGCACGGAAAGCCGCACGCAGCACAGTAGCACCTTCCTTTATTTCGAGAGGCAGTCTGCACTCAATGAACAGCCACAAATTATTTCCTCCCTAAACCCAACAAAATACGTGGAGAGCCTGAAGCAGAGAAAGAAGTGCAACCTGCAGCACCACTGGCAGTAGCCGCAGAGAAACAAAGGGTAGAACAGAACCAGTCTTTCGCCTCCTACTTGCTCCATGCTCCTGCACCCGCTGGTGCGGACTGTTGCTGCTGGTGATGCTGCTTTTGTTGTTGGTGAATGCATGGCGATGCAGCAGCACGGGCCTGCGGCAGCTCATTGCAGCGTTCGTTTGCAGCGCGTTACTCGGTCGAGAGTCTCTTTCCTGATGCGGGTATCCCATCCTATGCGGGTGTGTATAAAGCCCCAGGCAATGGCGCCCGTCCCCACAATGTAAAAAAAGTGAAATTGTTGTATGTAGCGGCGGCCAGACAGCCGTCGGTAGCGGAATGGGAATAGTCACCATATAAGAGTAGCTAGATCCGGAGAGCACATCGACAGAAGGGTAGAACGCCCATATACATATGCGACAGAGCAATCCTCCACAAAGGTTTGTGTGCTACCCAAGTTTACTGTCAGCGATCCACCCCCCCCATTTGTAGTCTCCGTCGATGAGCTAAGGAGGGCACGTAGATCAGGAATTTCTTCGCATGAGCGATCCTCCGAAACCCACTCGCGTTGTTGGCCCCTAGGGCATTCGAAGTTATTCTCTCGTTTTCTCTGACCTCTGCGACTCATTTCACATATTTTTGGGGTTTCATCTTCCTCAATTTGCTTCTTTTCGCAATGACGGTGCTCCCGTTTGGTGGGGAGACCTGGGGCAACTTTGCCTATTCTCCGAACACTTCTATAAAACCGCATCAAATGGTTTTGACGGCCTTTTCATGCTGAAGGTAAGCTCAAAACGTCAGCCAACGCGCAAGCCCGAAAACAAACAACGAGCTCATGCAAGAAGATACCGTAGACTTTCTGCGCCGTATCGGTCTGCCACTATACTCCATGCCTGAGCCCGTGTGTGATGGCTCCAATTTCACTGCTCTCCTATTTCCTCTGGAAGGCTGCAGCGTGTGCTATCAGATGGAGCATGAACTAAGTGGGTATTGCCTGCCTGTCTGGATTCGTTCAAATGTCTTGCGCAAAGTTCATACTTGTGTTTTAGCTGGACGTGCCGTGGAAACATCAACAATAGAGTGGTTATTTATGTTCTTCTGTGGCCTAGGATGCTCTCCTCAGCCAACGAGTATGGCTTTGCTTCTCCGGAGTATCAACTTAGAGTCGTAGAACATTCTCAGACCTCGCCCATGGCAGGGATTTCCTGTTTCTTAGCGGGCTTTTGCAGGTATCCCGACCAGAGCATGCACGTAATGGTGGATAGGCTCAGCAATGTTTCCTTCAGTGTCCGATGGAACGCAGTAACAGCAAATGGACTGAGTCACTTAGCTGGTAGAAGAGCCTGTGGGCTCTATAGATTTACCAAAAGCTCCAGCAGCGAGGGGGATTTAAATGTTCTAGCTCCTTCTGTTACAGATTCTTCGTAGATCGTGCTCCAGAATCTATCACAGCATGATGGCAGCGAAATCTCCACAGCCTGATGGTCAGGCAGAGACCGCAAGCCCTACTATATTTCAATATTTGCAGCTCTATATTTAGCATAATTCATCAAACCGGATTTATTTCGTTCCCTGCACCGAACGGCCATACAATACAACAGTGCATTCCTTGGCCCGACATTTTCTGGTTCCTCTGGTTGAATGGATATGCCGCTGGCTGATCAGTCTCAGTTTGTTTCTTTTGTTTATCCTCCTCGTCTGTGCCTTTTTTTGTCTGGAAGCCAGAGGGAGAGGCAAAAGAGAAGGAGGAACCCCAAAAGAGGGGGCTAAGAGCGTAGACAGACAAAAGCAAAAGCAGAAAATGCTAACTCCAGGAAGAAACGAACCAAACGAATGAAATAGAGCTAAAAAAAGCAGAATATTGCCACAGGGAAGATCCAAAGAAGCTCAGAAAAGGAGACATTTTTCTTTCCTTCAACTTTTTCTTCTTTGTCTGCGTGGGCTGCGTTTGCCCTTTTGCCTCCGTATCGCTCTTTTAGCCGCTCCAGCAGCAGCAGCAGGTACCAAACAAGCCATACTATATATACATATATTTATTTGTAAATACGTATCTATGTGCGTATTTGTCATATTTGTGTATGAATGTATCTATGCATGTATATTTACATATATGTATGTGTATGGGCAGAAGCCAATTAAACATTAAAAGCAATGAGCGAATTATAGCATGAGGGAAGAACAAAACTAAACATAAAAAACCAACTGCAAGCTACAATCTTTGCTGCTCAAGGCAAGGACACAGTAAAGAAGCAACGTTGATGCTTCTCGCTGCCATATATTGGTTGGTTGTTTGTAAGTGGTGTTTGCCTTTTGCTTGTTTTGAAAGATCTTTTTTGTATCTAAAAAGCAGCAGCATAGACATCGTTGCGTGCTTGCTGTTTGCTTCCTCTTTTTTCTTTCTCGTTTAAATGCGCGCTCAAAAGCTCCTTGCTCTTCTTCTTTGCTTGTTATTACACTTTTCGTTGAATGCAAATTTCTTTTTAGCTTCTCCCCCTGTCTTTGTGCGTTTCTGCTTTTCATTTTCTTCCTCCCTTTCATTTTCCTATTTCCTTTTTCTCGGTTTCTTTTTTGCCTCTGACCCGGCGATCTCCTTGCTTCCGCATGCTTTTAAGAATAGTTTTTATTACATATAATACTAATAGAGCAAATTCTTCATATATTTTGCCGTCAATATTGCCATTGAATTCCGTACAAATGCAACCGTATCTTTATACTGCTTCCCGTCTTTTGTTTACGCACGAAATATTGCGAGTCTTCTTCGTTTCTCCTTTCCTCTAGTATAAAGGCAAATACACCTTCGTCTTATTCTTTGTCAGAATTTATTTTGATAATGATGTTGTGGATTCCGGTGTCTGTTGCATTGCTCATAGTGCACAACCCGAAGGCATTCGTCTACTTTTCTCTGTCTTTTTCTTCAATTTCTTTCGCCTTTTCTCGAAGCATCTTACCATGAATAGGTATATGCATATATTTGCGCGTATGTGCATATGTGCACATGTGTATTTGTATGTTTTTCTACGTGTATGCACGCATATTATGTATATATATATGCTGTCCTGCTCGTCTTTAGGTATCCGTGTTTGTTCATTTGCCGTTTCCCCAGCTATTCATTGATATTTGTTTTCTCTGATATCTCTATTTGCTTATCTTAATTCTCTTTTTCCGGTCTTCGTGTGTTCACTTGTGCATCATGTGAGGCATTTTGGGGGTTCTGCCCCGTCGTTTGTCAATTATTCTGCACTCAAAAGAGAAAACAAATGTCCTGAAAAAATCCATGAAAATACAACAACAAAACACGAAAAACAAAACGAAAGAAACTGGCTTCTTTTTCTTGGGTCAGCGCGCTCTGCTTCCAAGAGGAAACCGAGCAGATGCCTATACACCCCAAGGGGACAAGCAAAACCAGAAAAAGAACAATACTATATCGAAATCGAAGAAGCAGTCTCATTCGTTGAATCATGATGCGCTTGCTCCGCTTGCTGCTGCTGGTGCTGCTGCTGCTGGTGCTGCTGGTAGCTCGTCCGCAGCAACTCCAGAAGCACGAGAACCAGTGGCTTCTGCTGCTGAAGCAGTTGCAGCAGCCGCAAACCGTACCGATGGGTGTTCCGAACCTCTTCAGCTCAAGCAGCTGCTGCGGTGGTGTCCGTTGCTGCTGCTGCTCTTTTTGCCGCTGCCGCTGCAGCTGCTTCTTCTGGCGCTTCTGCTGCTCATCCGTCGCTTGTGAAGGCAGCAGGCGACTGCTGAGAAGTTATTTCCCTGCTGCTGGTCTCATCAGCGTTGAAGAGTGCTGCAGCAACGGGAAGAGGATAGCCTGTCTGTTGTTGTTGCTGCTGCTGCTGCGCCTGAGGCTGCACTGGAGAGAGGGTGCGAGCTGTCAAGGGGGTTTGGGAGCAAGTTGTAATTTGAGGAGAAGGATCTGCTGCTGCTGCTTCTGTGGCGTTGCGGGGCAGCAACAGCTGCTGTTGCTGCGGTGTGTGCTGTTGCTGTTGCTGCTGGTAAAAGAGCAGCTTTTGCTGCTGCTGGCATACAACGCCCGAGCACAAGGTGCGGCCGTTGCTGCTGCCATTGCTGCTGCTCAACGCGTTGTTTATGAAGGACCGCTGGTAAGGCTGAGATGCAGCGCCGTTGCTGCTGCTGCTGTTGCTGCTCTTGCGAAATCCAAACTGCTGCTGCAGCCCCCCTCGGGCCGGTGGGGGGGGAGCAGTGCTGCTACTAAGAGAAACCAAGTGTGCAGTCTTCTGCTGCTGCTGCTGCTGCGGTTGCTGCTGCTGCTGCTCTTTATCTCCCCCGTCTTTAGATATGCAATTGCGGACCACTTCCCGCTGCAGCAGCTTTGTTTCTGCTGCTTGTAAAAAACCTGCTGGTGCTGCTCCTGCAGGTGCCTGGAGCCGCGGTTGCTCTTGGTGCTGCAGCTGCAGCTGCAGCTGGTGCTGCTGCAGCAGCAACAGACTCTTTTCAATGTCTTGAAAGCCTGAGAGATTGCTGCTGCTGCTGCTGTAGTCTATGGGCCTGACCAATGACTCCGTTTGCTGCGCGTGCTCCACTTGCTCCTGGATTTGCTGCTGCAGCTGTTGCTTTAGTTGCTGCTGTAGCTGCTGCTGCAGTTGCTGCTGCAGCTGTTGCTTTAGTTGCTGCTGCAGCTGCTGCTGCAGTTGCTGCTCCAGCTGCTGCTGTATCTGCCGGGCTGCATCCTTTTCTGTTTGCTGCCGAGTGTATGTTTGGATGCCGCTGACGGGCCCCCGTACTTGAGAAGAACAGAAATGGCGGTTGCCTCGTGGCTGCTGCTGCTGCTGCTGCTGTTGCTGCTGCTGCGGGGGCTTGTGCAACGGTTGCTGGTGCTGCAGTTGCTGCAGGTGTGGCAGTTGCTGCAGTGGCTGCTGGAGTCTGCTTGATAGAAACGAAGCCGACCGCTTCAAGACCGGCGTTTGCTGCAGGTGTCTCTCTTGTTGCTGGGCCTGCTGCTGATGCTGCTGTTGCTGTTGATGCTGCCTAGAGGGTATATAGTCCAGAGTTAGGCGTTGCAGCTGCGTACTTATGCTTACCGCTGCTGCTGCTGCATCAGCGTCTGCGGCTTCATCTGATTGCCTGAGTGGGGATGCACTGCTAGGCAGCTGCTGACTCCCGTGCTCATGCTGCTGCTGCTGCTGTTGCTGCTGTTGCTCCAGAGGATCCCAACCCCGCGCCAAAGCGATCGCTTGCAGAACAGCCAAAATCGTCTCGTTTGTCAGCGGCGGCATCTGCTGCTGCTGCTCTTGCTGCTGCTGCAGTCGCTGTCGCAGCAACATTTCTTCTTCCTCCCGCTGCCGCTGTTGTTGCAGCTGCAACTGCAGCAGCAGCTGCTGCTGCTGCTGCTGGTCTTGCTGCTGTGACGGGGGCATGCTGCTGGCGAGCCTCAGCGCAAGATCAATTGTCAGCTGCAGCTGCGACAGCGTCATGTCCATCGCCTGGGGCCCCAGAAGCTGCACAGCAATGGGTGTCGCCTCTTCTTCGGAAAGCTGCTGCTGTTGCTGTTGCTGTTGCTGTTGCTGCTGCTGCTGCTGCTGCAGCTGGTGATGTAGTTGCTGCTGCAGCTGCTGCTGCAACTGCTGCTGCAGCTGTAGTTGCAGCTGTCGCTGCTGCTGCTGTCTTTCTAGGTGAAGCTTTTCAAAGCTGCGCAGGGGATGCAACGAGTCGGAGGTGGTATGTGGGCTTCTGCTGCTTGCTTTTGCTGCTGCTGCATCTGCTGCTGCAGTTTCTGGAGTGACTGTTGCTGAGAGTTGTTTGGTTGGTCCGGCACCTTTTGTCTGATGTTGCTGCATCAGCATCTGCTGTTGCTGCTGTTGAGGCTGTACCTGGTTTTGATGGTGTTGCTGCAGCAGTAAGTCTAAGGCAGCAGCCCCTTCTGCTGCTGCTAGCTGGCTCTCAGCAGCCACGAGAGGATGCACAGGAGTCTGACCGTCTTCGGGGCCTCCCCCAACGAAGCAGAGCGACTGGCGAGTGGAGGGGCTCACAGTAGATGTCAATGCACCATCATGTTGCTGCTGCTGCTTCTGCTGATGCTGCTCCGTCTGCTGCTGCTGCTGCGCCTGCTGCGCCTGGCCCGGTTGCTGCTGCGGGCTGTCCCCGCTGCTGCTGCTAGCAGCAGCAGCTGCTGCTGCCTTGTGAACCGTTCCAAAGTCTGGGAGCAGCAAAGGTGCCGTTCCCTTTGCTGTAGCGTCGACTTGCAGGGGCGCGCGTTGGGGAGCTGGGGCGGTGACAGCAGTTGTTGCTGTTGCTGCTGCTACTGCTGCTGTGGCTGGCTGGAGGCCTAAGGGGGGCCCCTGGGGGCCCCAGAGGGCACGGATGAGAGGCAAGGCGAAGGGGTCTCGTAGTTCGGATGTATGATGCGCAAACGGACAGAAATGACGGAGACAATCGGGGAAAACGGAGCACAAGTGCGTTTTATATGTCAGGGGGTGGTAGAGTTCTTCTTCTTTACTGTGAGCAAACGAACAGAAACGGCCTCTGTTGCAGTGCCGCACCAAATTCATTTTTTTGTTGCACCGCCGAAACTCTATGCCAGGGCACAGCTGGGGGCTGCGGCAGCAACACACATGCACACATGCATGCATGCACGCATGCAGGTGTGGATGCATGCATGCACGTGTAGATAAATGCATGGTTGCATGCACAGCATACACAGAGGAAAGACGAAAAACAAAACATCCGCCAGGCAATAAGGACCAATCACTGCATGCAGACACACAAAGCAATGCCCCCCCTTCCATCCACCCACCCACCCACACACTACAAGAAGGCAGAGAAAAGAATATAAAGCACAAAGAGAGAAAATGAACAAACAAGCCTCTCGACAGGAACGACGGACAACATGAGATCAGCAAACAAGACAGCAGCAAAACCAACAAACTGCAGCGCGAACCCCAATCGAATGCAGCAAATAACTAATGAAGGCAGGGCACCACAAAGCATAGTTTAAACAAACAAAAGAGGATCTACGAGCAGCAGGAAAAAAAAGCAGAAAGAGATAACAGCGGCAATGCGCTCCCACAGCAGTTGCAGATTCACCTTCGAAAAGGATATAAAACAACCAGTTAGAACATCAACAAAGAAATCGCCAAACAAGTGAGAAAAACGATGCAAAGGAAGAAAAACTACAAGCATTCACATCACCACCAGCAACGGGAACAACAGCGGCAGCAGCAACAGCAGCAACAGCAGCAGCAAACAGCAACGGCACCAGCAACACCACAGCTACAGCAGCAGCAGCAGCAAGAGCAGCCGCAACAACAGCTGCAGCAGCAGCATCATTCTTACAAGTAGAGTATTTCATAAGGATTTCGTCTCTGCCAAGTAAGACAGTGGGAGTGAGGACAGGCGTCAGGGTTTGTGCACTGATTTCTGCGGTGTTGTTCGCACAGCTGCGTCCGAAAGGTCCCTAGTTCTATTTCATTTAAGGTGTAGTGTTTGCTTAAAGAAGGAGGGGGAGACGGCATAGACAGACCCAAACCCCTACGATGGGGCCCCCCGAGGCCCCCATTACTCCCCCTTGGGGCCCCTGCAGCGCTGCCCTGGAGCGAAAGCGAAGGCACCAGGGCCCCCAGTGGGGCAGTCTGACAGACAGGCTGCATGATGTAAGCAAGGGTGGCAGCGCAGGCGGAGTCTGTAGCTAGCTAGCTAGCTAGCTAGCTGGCTAGCTAGCTACCTGGCCAGCTAGCTAGCTAGCTAGCTAGCTACCGCGCTAGATCGCTAGCTGCGAAACGACCCTGCGCGAGGGAGCGAGAAACCAAAGAGGCCCTCTAGGCCCGAAGGGCCCCAAGGAGAACACAAAATGAATAGCCGAGAGTCTGTGTTGGGGGCCGGAAGAAAAGCAGACAAAGACAACAAATACAGCGGAGGCAGCCGCGTGCTTTTGCACTCTGTTTAGAACAACGGGTGCGATGGGAGGGAGGCGCCTAAATGAACAAAAGAAAAAGGAAAATGCATCTCCCTGGTAGTTTAAGGCGGCAAACAGGAGAGGCGGCTGCTGTCGAGACACCTGAACGCTGCAGCAGATGGGGCCTCCTTCGTGCTGCTGGGGGCCTCTGCAGCTGAGGAGGCAGAGCTATGACTGATTTGCACCAACCCAAACAGCACACACAAACTCTTGTTGTAGGAAACAAAAACCCGTCTTGTTGTGTTAATAGAGAGAAGAGCAGGCACAGACGAGTGCCCGCGAGACCTGAGTGTACTATGGGCCCTCCTCCGGGAGTATCAACCCCAACGAAATACAAATATGAGGGGCAGATTCTGATAGGAGCCAAGATTTATGAGATGAGGTGTATGTACACCCGAGTTGCTGCCTCGCTGCTGCTGCGCTGCCTGCGCCGCGGAGAGCGAGGAGGCGCAGAGAGGAGTCAGTGAAATTTGGTTGCAATAAAACAGAAGAGGAAAACAAGTGGCCGGGAGAGAAGGAGGCCGCGCACCAGATGAGATGCGATGCAGCTGGAGCGTAGATACAGCTGCTGCAGAGATAGCGGCAGGCGTAGGGAGGAGGAGACACGCCACAAGTGAGAGATTATTGACTCTAATTAAGAGCGATTAGAATGAAATTGCTTCCAAATCATCGGCCCCAAACAACAAATAGCGACAAAACAAATCTTCTATTCGTCTTTACTCCACAGCCTCTACAGCTGACAACGCAGGCGGGCTGGTTATCCGTCGGCTCTGGGGGTGTACAAGCAGCGCTGTTGCTGCTGCTACACGGCTGCAGCTGCAGCTGCTGCTGCTGCATCTGACAGACCCAAAGCCCTAAAACCTTGTAAATAATATAAAATATAATATTTAAAAACCGTTTAGTAGCTTCTGATTTCCCAATTCTGATGAAAAAATGCGGTTTCCAAGCAGACCAACACGGCCGCATGCGCTGATCCCACAGGGTCACCTAGAAAGCTGAACGACTTCAACACATGAAAGCAAACCTTGCACTCAACTTCTTTAGAAAAAAAGCAAAAATACGAAGGATTTACTACTGCTTAAAACAGCTTTCCTTCTCTGTCTAGGTGAGTTAATCTCCGGATTCCTCTCAGAGGCTTGGAGTGAGGAACCGCTTGCTTGCCTGTATGACGCTCCGCCGCGGTGGGCTGGACTCCGCCGTTCAGTCGACGTGAACCCGGCAGAAAAAGCGAAAACAACAACTATTTTTAAAGAGCAAAACCAAATATTGAATCGCTTACTTTGGATGCAAACTCAGGGAGAAAGTGTCTAACGCAACGCGGATACGCTGTCCTGTCAGTTGTGCGGCATACAGATTCGGCGGATAGCACGAACGCCACAGAATTTGAAATAAATCAACTGTCTCGTAATAAAAAAAATAAAGACCAATTATGGGCAGGTTCAGAGAACGGAATGCAGACCACAGTACTTCCAGGTGTACCGGCACCTCAAAACGGAACAATGGGAGTGAGGAAAACTAGTTCAGTTATTATGTCGTCCGACAACAAAACCTAGAGATGAAATATACTCAAAAATGAAGGTTCAAAAACTATTTAACTGTTTATTTTATTTTCTCCCCCTATTTATCTCCACAATTACACTTTTTTCTGTCTGTCAATCGGACTCCGAACTCGAGCAACAATACCCGGAATCCGAGGCAGAAGAGGAGGGTTATTCTCCTGAAAACGAGGACCTTTCTTCGTTAGAACCAACAGAAAATAACGCTGAAACAAATGTTTCTGTGTTTCCCACAACACGAAATACAGTTCAACTTCCACCTGCGCCCATTCCCCCCGAAGGCGTTCTATTTGAAAACAAGAGCCCCAACAACGTGCAGGCTTTCAAGGTGCCGGGAGTGGGCCTGCCGATAGAAGAGAGTGAACAGGTGGCAAAAACTGCATAAATAAATAAATGAATAAATAAATGCCTGCGCGAACTGTGCGTGCATAATAAGTCGTCGAACGAGGCACTAGACTGCCAGTTGGTGTTCTTTTGCTTGATTTCAACGGCAAGGGATTGTGCGCCTTTCGTGCATTGGACCCCTTCCTTGCAGTTTGCTGCATGAAACCAATGAAATCAATTAAGAATAGGCAAATAAAGTGCAGTTTGTTTGTATACACTTGTTTGGATATATACTATATATATACACCCCGATTCAGGTCCCATTCATCTTTATTAACAATGTCGCCCCTGAGAGCCCCCGAGCGTCCGAGCTGCCAGGCGTCTCAGAGGCTCTTCTCGGCCCCCCTGCAGCCCCCGGTATTTCATTTTATTATTATTTGCTGCTTTGGAATTTGTTTTTTTTTATGTCCTCATATTAACAGCAACAGAGCAGGAACTAGGCCAGCGTAAGCGAAGCGCGTGCAGCGTTTGAAAGACTACTATACTGCAAAAACGAAAATAAGAAGGCGAATTTATGCTATAAATTTTAATGTCTATTCATGCAGTCAATGCGCTCTGCGTCTCCACACTCGGCGCGCCCTACGCCTATTCCCCCAAGTCCGTTGCTGTTGGTTCGAGTGTCTGGTTGTTTATTTATCTGTTGGATTTGTAATGAAGTTCATTTTCTACTTGATTTGCAGTAAGGGACTCTGTGAGCCGTCGTACCTCGTGCAAGCGGAGAGAGAGGAAGAAATTTCTGAGCGAGAAAGACAACTAACAACGCCTCTCACCCCGCAGGAGGCCTATGCACAGTCTCTTGAGGAGGCAGCTGTTTGAATGCTACAAACTAATATCAAAAACCTACACTATTCTTGTCCAGTATATTTCTTTCTACGGACCGCTTAATAAAACAGCGAATTTAAATGCTATTACCCAACCAACCCCCTCATGCGCACTAGCAACAACATGTGAATGTTTTAAAGAAGCGCTAGGGTATAGGGCCCATATTTAAATATTAAAACCCCAATTGATCAAACCCAAAGAGTTCAAGAGGCAAATGTGACGCAAGCGCATACAAACAAGTATCTAGGAAGTTTTAGATTGGCACGAGTGCATGCAGGTATCGGTTCGCCTGGAATGCAAGGATGCGTCAGGCCTACTACAGCCATATAACATATATGTATATATATATATATGCATATATATATGTATGTATATATATATAGGGAAACGGTTGCTTCCAGTTTTAGTTTATATTTTATTTAGGAGCGGTGGCGTTTTTCTTTTTCTCCGCAGTTGTGATTTTTCGGTAGTACGGAATTCCCTTTGCGTCCTTTTGCGGCTCGCTGCCTCGGACGAGAGTGCAGGAGGGATATTTCGAGTGAATTTGTTTGATTTGTTCATCGGTGATTTTGTTTACTCCGTCTAAATAAATAAAAGACAGAGAAGGAGATGCCCGCAACAGTACCTCTATAGACGCTGCAGTCAACTGATTGCAGCCTGCAGCGCACGCATATATATATATATATATATATATTACATATGTATATGTATATGTACATGTATATGTATATGTATATATGTATATGTATATGTATATGTATATGTATATGTATATGTATATGTATATGTATATG